AGCTCTCACACCATGAGGGATGACCAGGCATATCTATCCCTGTCAGCCAGCTAAGACAAGGGAGCCCACCAACATTTTCTCAGGGACTCCCTGCCTCCATGTCTGACCAAGACCACTGCTGACAGCTGCCTGGTACCCTTTCAACATGAGCGTGAATTCAGGCAGATGATTGCCAAGCTTCATTGGCCTTGGAGCCAGTCTGTCTCATTAGGATGGCTTTGCCCACTCCACTTTGTGTTCATCTAATAATTTACCTTGCATGCGAAGCGGACACTCTGAATTCCCTGACTTTCACATTCTTGGAGACCATCTTCACCTTAGTCCTCTACTATCAATAACAGGAGATTGTAGCATCCCTCACACACATACACACACAGACACACACATCTCACACACACATAATCACACACATACATAATCACACATGCACACACACAAACACACAAGACTGTCTATTCATTTTCAGTTTTGTTTTGCTCTTGCTAACTATGTTTGGCAGAAAGAAAGCAATTGTTCTCCATGTTCAAATTAATGGAGAGATGAAACTAAAGGGGAAGGAAGGAGCAGCACGCAGCAGTGTCCTGGGTCCCCTCTCAGCGGTGAAAGCAGGCAGCGTGGACCTCTCTGAAGTGAGGTGGGCAGAGAAGGCTGAAGCAAGCTGCAAGTGATTGCTATTAAAAAAAAAGAAAAAAAAAAAACTATGTGTACTCTACAGAGAGAGGATAGAAGAAGCACCCAAGTTGGTTGGGGGCATCAGAAACCCCTCTCAGAGAAGGTGACATTAACCCTGAGACCTGAGGAAGTGGGTTATTGTGCACATATGTGGGAAGAAGGGCTTTCACGCTCTGGGAATAAAGTGAACAGAAGTCCAGGAATATGGGCCTGCAGGGTATGTTTGGGTGAGCCAGGTAGACTGGGGTAGGACATTTAAGGCAGACAGGAGGTAAGACCCAGAGCAAGAGAATCCTCTTAGGCTTTGCAAAAAGGAATTTGGATTTTCTTTTCAGGCCCATGGTTCCTCAGCTGAGGGCCACACACCCCTGGGGGCGATGGAGTTAATGACAGGAGATGGGAGAATCTAAGCAGCACCAAGCATTGCTGGCAAAATAATGCCACTCACATATGTACTCCTATTTTTCAATTATATGTAGATGCTTTTATGATTGGCTTAATATCAACTGAAAGCATTACCAAACATAAAATGAAAATCATTTTTTAATTCACAAAGGCTTTTATTATTAAGTGTTATCTCACTCAACGTGAAAGTGCAATTACATGTGACTTTTTATCGTTATGTATTTGGGTAAAAATAGTAAAAGCATAAATTACTATTCTGTAGGGTCCGTAAAATTTGGAGGCATCTTAAATGTTTGGGAATCAATGCTACAGGCAATGGGGAACCATGGAACATTTCTTAGAAGTGAGGTGACACGAGAAGCTTTGCTTGTTAAAAAAAAAAAAATCCCACTGGCCATAGTGCAGACGGTGGTGTGGAGAGAGGTCAGATGGAGGCCCTCCCCTGCACTCCTTCTCTTCTGTCCACACTGGCCTCCAGGACATGCCAGACATTACTCTGCCTCGGGGCCTTTGCACCTGCTATTCCTCTTAGAAAACTTTTCTCCCAAATACATCTCATTCCCTCTCCTCTTTCAGATCACGTAAACATCTCCATGAAGCATTCCCTGACCTCCTCCAAAGAGATTGGGTCCTCCATCAACGTACCCTGGGAAGGCCCATCCTGGATATGGGGGGCAGGACTGGAGCCAGATGAGGAGAAACTTCCAGGCCCCTCTGGGCTACGGTCAGGTTGCCCCGTGGAGGCCAGAGAGGCACTCTAGGACACGTGTAGATGGGCAGTAGTTTTAGTTACTCTTTGCACAGTATTCCAGTCCATTGTGGTTGAATGTTTAGTGGATACGAAAAGCCACAGCCTGGCCCCAAAGGCAGTGTGAGGAATGAAGTGGACAGGCCTATCCTTCACTAGATGACCAGGACCGCTGTCCACCCACTTCAGCACGCGGAGGAAGCAGGATGACATCTGGACCCTCAGAATGGTCCTGTCCCAGGGCCGCATGCCCTGGAGCCCCTGGAGTCAAGGCTGCATCCGGGTGGCAGGACGAGAAGACTGACGGCAAGAACCTGAGACACACACACAACCCGTGGGCATCTCCAGCGCCCTCCAAGATGGGGAGCCCTGAGCCCTGTTGTTCTTCACCGTAAAGCTCGTGGGCTCATGCGCCTTTGACTTCTCATCCCTTCCACGGCCACTACAGATCTTGGACGTTTACCCCACATGCGTTCTCGTTCAGGACTCAAACGGCCTGGAGGGAAAGGCAGCACTGTTTATACATGGGGAACCTGAGGCTCAGATCTAGCGACCTCTCCATCTCATCACACACTAAGTGCTTCTCTGAGCCTGGACTTCCAGCTCCAAGAACAGTGCTCCTTCCCACACACAGGGACACAGCACACAATTGGTTACAGATGCAGAGTCAGAGAGCGCTCATGTCAGACTGTGACCCCAGAACTCTCAAAACCCCATATTGAATTAGCATTTACTGTTTGTCAGGGATACATTCCCAGAACGTCTCTGGGCGCACACCATGATGCTTCCCAACCAGCCTGCTTCTGGATGTGGCTGAACTTTTATTCACTTCCAACAAAATTCTTTGGTAGAAAAGGCAAGTGCAGTTATATCCATAGGTCAGAATTTATTTCATACCACTTCATTTATAGCATTTGCAAGGACAATGTTCTGCTCAACATCATTTACACTTGAAACAGAAAAGCACAGCTTGGTAAGGCATCAGGTTACGACAGTCTGGGGAGAAGACCTTACCCTCCTCTGGCTTCTGTGACATCTGGGTGGTTTCTCTTAAGTCTGTCAAGCACAGAGAGCAACGTTACCAAAGGTTCATTTCCACAGACTTGGTAACAAGAGATAACACAACAGTTTTGGAGTACGTTGAATTTTTTAATTTTATCCAGTCCACACTGGAGGAGTTAAGCTAAAGTGGCATTTTCTAAAGCCCAACTCTTATAAAATCTTCTCTGCAACACCAAGCTGCAAGTTGAACAATGTTTGAGCTCTGAAATTAATCAACTTTATATCTAACTCAAGCAAATACTTCTCAAAACTTTTCCTCTCAAATCTCTATTTTCACAAAGAAATAAAAATGGAGGAAAACCTCGAGTACAATCATACCTTTACTATTCTATAAAATGCAGCAAGATACTAAAAACTGCTGCATTTAAATGTCAACCCTAGATGTTTAGCGCTAATGGCACAGGTTGTATCAAGCTGGGTAAAAATAAACCACTTGAGTAAAGCTCTCAGAACTGGGCCACACAGGACTTCTTCACTAACTGCTTTCCAACAGTGGCCCTAAAGGCACAGTGTGCCAAAGGTCCCTCCCAGGGGGACCAAAAGTGGCCCCCATATGCTGTCACATGCATAAAATTTCTTTCAAGTTTTGTGTTCTGTCTTAAAAATTAATTTGCATTGTACTCCATGGCATTTTCTTAAATAGAAAAATACTGTTTAAACTTACTTACCAGTCAAATAACTCTTCCCCTACCCCCACCTCTGCACACGAGGGCAGGCAGAGCCCAGTCTGGGAAGCTGGCTTCCCACAGAGAGGTGAGCCAGGCACGCAAGCTTAGAATGCATTTCATTGGGTCTGTTGAGGCATTTCCACAAATAAAGTAACTTTATTTACTCGGGTTGTAACTAAATGCTTGAGGACACTATGACTGATATCAATTTCAATGTATTGAAAAATAAATAGTAAACAATCTATGTATTTCAGTTTTTAAACAAAGAAATTAATTTTATTTACTAACAGAAATAACAGAAGCCTCTAACCTAAAGTATAACCTGATCTTTTACTTTTTCTACAGAAAAACACAAGACCCACAAAAAGAGAAAACTCTTCTATCCACTGGCTCTACAGAGATTTCCCTAGGAATTGAACTGATTTTGGTAAATCCGCTTCACCCTCTGCAAACTCGACATCACAGTTTAATACATTAGGCTCGTTTTTGGCATCTCAGAAGCATGCCCATCACAGAGCAAAACTACTCTCCTGATATGGCACTTTCTCTCCAGAGGGTTAAGCCCTAAACACTGTCACCCCGAAGAACACGAATGTTTCACAAAAAGTGGTTTTCTGACTGCCCCACAGTATGGCTGCAGCTAAGCTCGGGCGCTGTAGTCCCTGCACACCCCTTGCTCCTGGCAGGCCACAGCAGACCCCCCATGACCCCTCTCACACGCAGCTCTGGTCTCTGCTACCAGTCTTCTGAAAGGCATCTGTGGATTTATTACCCGGTTAACTGGTTTCAAGACATTCATTTTAAAACAGGTTTTAAGAGACGTTCACATTTTATTTTAGGATGGTCTCAAAATGTGTTAAGATACACTTAAAATCATATCTAGGGCATAATCAAAAAGAGATCTGTTCAAAGAAGTGTTAACAAAAAGAGGAAGCCAAGCTTCCCTCACATCTGTTTTTGTGACCATGCGTTTTCCCCTTAACTGCTTAAACGTCTTAGTCAGCAGCAAATACAACCACATACATACATATGTGTGTGTGTGTATATGTGTACAAAGAAGGACATTTTGGCTGACTTAAGAAAAAAAGTACATTTTGTGTCCCACAAACATTTGCTGCAGGCCTTTCAAGAGCATTCACGTCCCTGCAGGCGGGACAATTTAAAATTGACCTTTAAAAACAATTCAGACAGGGGCTCCCTATGCTCTGATTACCGGGGACTGAGGCAGTCTGGTGCACGTGTACACAGACAGCACATTCTGCTCTCAATAGGAATCACACCCTAAAGAAAATCTAAGAGCTACTGACGAACGCTTGCCTTACTCTGCATGGCATTCTGGCTATTTATACAGTGTCAACACAACTGGTCCGCGAATGAAAAATCCCAATAGATAATTTTTCCTTTTTGACCTACTCAGTGCCATAGAGTTAGTGGGATGATTTTCATTGGTTGTTTTTAAATCTTAAGCAACTGGGCATTAGCATATGAAAAACGTGACTGGTTTGAGGTTTTTGTAGGCAGAAGTCTCTCATTTTTTCTCAGATTTTTGCTCTTTAAAGAAAGAAAAAAGAAGTATGGAGTTTCAAAACTAAGAGTTACTCTTACCATGGCTGGCCTGTGTGTACAATGCACTGCGCACTAAGTAGCCCTTAATGAAGGGATGGTTAACCACACCATTTCCTCTTTGTTCTTCTGTACATTATAACGTAGCAAAATTTCACTCTTGACACCCAGATTTGAGGTGTCTTTCCTATATTAGATATAAATTAATCCAGAGGTCTAGAGCTCTAAATTTCCAGAGTTAGGAAACATGCTTAACTTATTTCAAAAATATCTTGCATAAGTATCTCTCCCTAAGGGCAAACAAACAAGAGAACCAGAGGCGAGAAGGAACGCCTGGGTTGGGAACTCCTCCTAGGACACACACACACACGCTCTCCAGACAGGTTCTACACAGTAAAAGGAGTCAGTTCAGCTAATATAGCTTCTAATATCAATTTCATCTGAAAATAGCCTTTCTGGGTTTCTTGCCAGCATCATACGAAACAGCAGTACTTCTTCCACCAGGACTTGGAGAGGTTTTTCATTTTGTCTGGAGTCCTGCTTTTGGACTTCTTTGGCTGCTGCTGCGAGTCCGCGTACTGAATGCCAGCGACGATGGCCGCATCAAAGACCTCTTTGAGGTTTTTCTGAGTCAAGGCCGAACACTCGATGTAGGAGGCGGCTTTGATTTCCTCAGCACACAGCTTAGCCGCCTCTTCAGGCACTGGCTTCTCTTTGCATTTGTCCAACTCAATGAGGACTTTGACATCTTCTCTGAGATCTGACTGAGTTCCAACTAGGAGGATGGGGGCTTTGGGACAGTGGCATCGAATCTCTGGCACCCATTTCTCACTGACGTTCTGGAAAGAGGAGGGGCTCACAACACTGAAGCACAGAAGGAAGATGTCGGTGTTGGTGTAGCAGAGAGGCCGGAGCTTGTCAAACTCATCCTGCAACCAATCAAGGCCCCAAAAAGTTATTTTTAAAATCAATTTTCATCTCATCAGCAAAAATACTATTTTAATATTTTTCTTGAGAGGGTCTAGCCGGTCAGAGAAAGCCCACTGGTTATGGAAGGAAGAGCCTGTGCCGCTTACCTAAATAGGATACACTCCCAGCGCCACGAAATCTGCCAGATGTGTTCGGCACCTTCATCAATACTCACGACTGACTTGCGACTTACCATAGAAAAAATACTTAGATTCGATGGATTTTAGAAATAAAATTTACTTTATCTAGACTTCAGCCTAGAGTCATCCAGGCTTACTCCTTCAAGTCTGGTACTTAGCTACTCTTCTAAAATTTACTCAGCATCCATACTGATCCCCAAGACCCCAGCAAGCTCCAGTCTAACATGGCTCATCTTTTTAAAAATCCAGCCCTGACCATCCTCATGACAACAGTGAGTGACGCCACTTCATCCCATCTGCACTGTGTGCAGAGAATATACAGTGCAGAGAGTAACGTTAATCAGACAAGAGGGCAGACCAAGATTGAGAGCTTAGGATCTTTGTTAGGCAACTCTCACTGGCAACTCAGAGACCCCGTGCCTCCCACTGTCACGGACAACATTGGCTTATACACTCTCCGTCCTTTTGTTTTTTTAAGGAAGATTAGCCCTGAGCTAGCACCTGTTGCCTAACACCTGTTGCCCATCCTCCTCTTTTTTGCTGAGGAAGATTGGCCCTGGCCTAACATCCATGCCCATCTTCCTCCACTTTATATGGGAAGCCGCCACAGCGTGGCTTGATAAGCAGTGCACAGGTCCACGCCTGGGATCCAAACCTGCAAACCCCGGGCCACTGAAGCAGAACGCACGAACTTAAGCGCTACGCCTCCCGGCCGGCCCCTACACTCTCATTCTCGCTCTGTATACCTCTTTCTTCTTGCTTTATCTCCTTCTGCTCCCTCCTTTCTTCCTTTTCTCTTACTTCCTTCCCGCTTCTTTTCTCTCTGCCAATACCAGAGGCCTCCATGCTTGGTGCTTTGGGAAGACAGAGTGTCAGAGAAAGGGCAGACCCACCTTATCCTAAGGTATAGCAACTGGATGGATGGGATCAGTTAGAGTTGATTATTTAAACCAACCATCAGGCTGCTGAACACTCTGCTGCAGTCACCCACTTAGAGATGCATGCTGGCCCCAGGCACTGCGCAGGGCCGGGGATGCAGTTGGGAACAGACTGACACGGCCTCAGCCCCTGTAGAGACGTCTGTCTCCAAATCAGCATTTCTTTATGTCAAACACCCGATAGTTCCCTCTGGTGCCATAGTCAGCTAACTGAAAGCTTTCACTCAACTCTCTTGCAGGAAAATATTTACATCATCTCATTCCTATTTAAAATTTCTATCTGTGGGTGCCAACTATCCTTAGGTATAATGTGACAGATAATTTCCCAGTGGCAAGAAAAAGTTAAATGTCATCCAGCCTTTTGTTACTCAATTGGCATACTCTGATAATTTAACAAACTATAATTTACATGCACATTATTCTGGATTTGTGGCCTTTTTCCAGGTATAAAGGAAACCTGGATCTGTTTTATTTGAATGCACTTTCTTCATTTGAGGCTCCATACTTCAGTTGTGGGGCAAATAACGATATCAAAGCCAACCAGCTGAAATGCTCAGGAATGAATGCAGCATTTCAGAATGTCACTGCCACTTGTCAGTCTTCTATAAGCCAAAGTTAAAAAAGAACGACTTAGGGGGCTGGTCCAGTGCATAATGGTTGGGTTCGTGCGTTTCCCTTCAGCGGCCTATGGTTCATGGGTTTGGATCCCGGGCATGGACCTATATACTGTTCATCAAGCCACGTTGTGGCGGTGTCCCACATACAAAATAGAGGAAGGCTGGCACAGATGTTAGCTCAGGGACAATCTTCTTCACCAAAAAAAAAAAAAAAAAAGAATGACTTAAGTTTCTTGGTGCCAACTTTGTACTGAAAGAATAACCACAGAAACTCAACCAGGTAGATCTTTTAATGAAATGTTCCCTCTGTTCTCAGAGGCCTGAAATGAAGAAGCACAAAACTGAGAGCAGTGTAAAGTCAGCTCCGTCAGGCAGCTGCCCCTCGCTGCTGTGAGGCAGTCACCCTCAGCAGAGCCCTGGAATCTGGGGTTGCATTACCAATAAAAAGAAAGGGAAGCACAGGGGCCGGCCTTGTGACAGGGCTCCCCAGACCTCTTGAGATTCTGGCTAAGGGCTTGGGAAGGAAGGCAGAAATTAAACCCAACTGCTCATTGCCTGAGCAGAAATCTTAGATATTTGCTGAAGTAAATGCAACACACATATGTGCGAGGAGGCCAACTGGAACGCACTCTCAAGGACACGTGTTCTGAGGCCCAGCGATTTGCACACCTTGCCAGGTCTGTGGGAAGACGACCTACAGGATTCGGTTCAGGGGCAGGGCAGGGCAGACAGGCAGCTGGACAGGAGCGTTGGTCAAGCTGCAACCTGGCTTTTTTTTTTTTTTTAGTATAAAGATTTTCCCAAATGCCTCATGGGTCAAAAGGCTGAAGAATTCTCAGCTCCTCTTGGCAACGCTACAGTGAACTGTTCCTATTTCAGTGCTGCTCCTTTCTCTTATGTTTCTTCAAGTCCTCGGTCTCTGATCACTTTCACTTGAGTAAGACTGTGAGCCCAGTGTTAGAAACTCCTTTTAACATCTTACATACTCACCTACCCTCCCTAACAAGAAAACTCAAAGGCACAAGAAGCAATTTCTAGCTATTTACTCAGCCAGCAGACTAAATTCTCCGCCTGAGCTTCTATGTGAAACCTGGTTTGGGCCCCAGGTTACGGCCTCCTGTGCTCATCTTCTCCTGGAGGGTGAAGCGGAGGTCGCTGGAGGCACGTTACCCCACGAGGCGATCATGAGAGCTGCCTCGAGGCAGGAGGAGTTCCACTATTGGGTCAGCACCAAGGAAATCTGGCAGTGTGCAATCGAGTCCCTTAGAAGGTACTTTCTCAGATCAGCACTAGGGAGAGTAGAGAAGGACGACCACCTTGGCCAGGCTTGCTAATAGTTAACACCGATACTGACACTGGGGAGCAGGAAGAAAACTGACTTTATCTTACTAGCCTTGTATTTCTCATAAATAGTTTTTGAAGCTGGTTTTCCTTCATTAACTAATAAGGTATACTTTACTAGCCAGGACATCAGCTAAGAAAGACAGTAAATCTCAATGAAAACACTGCTAGGAGACCAGAAGAATAATTTCCAGATTGGTAAACTAAAGCGTACCAATTTGCACCAAAACCTTTTTATTTCTCTAATTATAAACCCTTTTCATGAAAATATTTCTAAAATGATTCTCATGCTTCCCTGGCTTTTAAATAGACCATACTAAGGAAAAATCAAAAACTCTTCTTTGATAATTCAGGATCATTTCTACAAAGCTTATCTGGTAAAAGTCCCATCCCTCTTTCAAAATGCTTGGAGGTTTTCCTCCCGGGCCACCTGCCCTGCACCGCTGGCTAACATTGCCTTCCTCTTTATGTTAACTTCTCAGGTTTCTTTCACAAGGTCTACTAACCAGCTTGTCTTTCCCGAAGACTATAAGTCTGTTGAGGGGCAGGCCCACGACTTAAGTTTGCACCCCCCCGGAACTAGCACTCCATTCATTCATCCATTCACCAACCCTGATTAAGCCCTACTATGTGCCAGGAACCTGGGGCCACCAGGCATAAAACCCCCACCCAGGAAGCCATGTCTGCAAGGAGAACCAACACCTAACGGGAGAGCCCCAGGGGGGCAGGGACAAGCTCTGGGCTGCTTGCTCTTCTCCTAAAAGGGCCCCAATAACCATGCCTTTTGGAGTATTGTGTTTCCCTGTCTGCTATCTTATTCTCAGGCTGTCAAGCCGCCACTTCTTGCTTCAGCCAGGATGCCTATACTTATAGAGATACTACTCTGTCCTCATTTTAAAGATCAGAAAATGTGACCTGTAGTAGGAAAAACATTCTCACTTTATAGAAAGCAATTAAGCTTTAATTATAAATACCAGCAGGACATTCAGAAAGATTAAATATTAGAAGACCCGGTGTTCTTTGATTTTTCTTTTCCACAGGCAATAAGATACGGACTGTGTCTGGTTTTTCCTGCTCCGGATGAAGGAGAAGCGGAGGTGCGTCAGTGGTAGGGTAAGGAGAGAACAGAAGAGGCTGGGACGCAGCTCATGGCACTGGGGCCACTGCCAAACCAGTGTTCAGCTAGAGATCTAGGCTGCCCAGTCTCGTGTCACCTTGAGGTTTGAAAACTACAGCTCTGAATGTGCTGTCCCAGAGAAGGTGAGCAATGTGGAGGTCCTGGCTTGGTTGAGGCACCTGGGGACAGTGGAAAGCCTACTTCTTAAATGCAGATGGTCATGTGACAACAGCTCAGAAAGTGAGACGGGCACTCTTCTCTGCCTACAAAGTGCCCCCAGCACTTTCTCTACCTCTAGCAAGCACTGGAGAGACTACGTGTTTATTAACTGTCACCTTGGCACACTCAAGTGACGGCACCCTGGGGCCTCAGAGAGCACAGCGAGACTTCAGTGACTTGAGCACCGTGCCAGGGGGATTGGGTGATGACGAGCCCCCAGAGCTCTTTGGGGGGACACCCCAAGGGGGACCTCCTCCCCACTGTCTGGCTGTATCATCCAAGTGCGTGGTCCTCGAGACAAGAACAAATGTTCATGATTTGAAAAGACTAAGTCCCAGGTCATTCACTCCTCCAGCCTAGGACAGCTCGACCGTGGCTTCCAGGGAGGCAGTGGCCCTAGTGAGTGAGCCCACAGCTTAGGAAGGGAAATATTAACACTTACTGACACAAACTCCATCTTTCTCTTGAGTAAATTTCTTAAATATTTGGCTTGTTGACCTTTAATAAAATGATTATAAGATATCTCCAACTTACTTTGAGAAATGATTACAAAGCATCATTGATAATTTTTAATATAAACCAGAAAGTAAATACAGTCAGAAACTCCTGTAAGATAAGAAGCGTTCTTGACTATTTTCCCCTGTCCTGCCCACATAAAGCTGGGCCAAACCCTGTTTTATTACTGCAGAGCTATCTCCCCACCCCCCAGACCCCTCTGAGAAGGGCCAACAGCAGGGGTGTGGCTCCTTCGTGAGGCTTTAGAACAACCCAATTATTGAGGGAGGTTATTTGGAGACCTTTAAAAGGGCATTTCCTTTCCCAGCACTGAGCAGCAACAAGATACTGACCTGTCCTGCCGTGTCACAGAGCTGGAGTCTCACAGGCCGCCCATCCACGGACACCACAGCTTAAAAACAAGACCAACATGACCATCAGTGGGTGGCTTTTAAGCCCTTTCAGAAGAATGACAGTTTTAGCTCGCACTACCATTCTTTCTCCAAACCCTTCAGCGCCTCTTCTGGGTCCCCTAGGAATTAAAGACTTGCCCAAAACAAGGAGCCATGGAGGCATTTCTGTACACAAAACCCCCAGGGCTGGCAATTCATCCTTTGCCACAGATGAGGCAGCAAACCCCCGACCCCTTTGATGGCACCCCAGAAGAGACTGCGCCTTTCTCCCAGCCCAGGAGATTTATTTTCCTGTCACACTAGTTTCAAAACACCTAAAAAGAACACTGGGGGGTAAGTGGAAACCAACTTTACAGTTTTAAATCAGTGGAAAATCTCACAAATAATTGTTTTCCCTTGGGAAACATTCTGAGACTTCAGGGTGTATCATAAAATTGTAGCTTGTTTTGGGAACATGTGCAAACATAGGCTGCTGGCATCGTCCTGTTTATAAAAGTGGGCACTGCTTCTCTCTCCATGTCAGCTCAAAGAGGACTGAAAAGAAAAAGAAAGGAAAGGACTCCAGCCCACCTTTCCACTTGTATGGGGCATGTGGGGAGGGGCCTGCATCAGGGCTCGGCCTGGAGGTTTCTACTTGGATTAAGCCTTCAGTTTCATCTCAATACAACTTTCTAAATTGTTTATAAATGTTTATACTCATCAGTTGGGAGAAAAAAAGGAAAGAAAGAATACGCTTTAGGTGGGAAACCCACTCGCACAGCACTGTTTTATCTAGGGTACCTTTGAGGGGGAAGAAAGCAAGCCCTTGCCATCACGACTTTTTAAGAAGTCAAGAAGCAATTTTTTTTTTTTAAGAGCAAGAGAGAGTAAGTGTTTCACACTAGCTTCTGTGGATTTTAATTTTTTCTTAAATTTCAAAAAGACATGAAAAATCATGGTAAAGAATTTCTTTATCTTTGTATTTACTAAACCAAAAAACATAGCACCCCATACATAAGAGCTTTACGTAGTTCAAAGAGACACTGAAAAGATACTAAGAATCGCAAACTGGGCCAGTGCGGGAGGTGGCAGTGCGGCAGTGGAGGCAGGGGAGGGGACTCAGAAGAAAGAAATCGATCGTGTTTACTCTTCCGGTTTAATCCAAACCTAAGCCTTCACCGGTGCCATTAACGCTATTTTCACTAAATCAACTATTTTACCGTCTCCGCGGCTCTTTAAAGTGGAGAAGCCCCTTGAGAAGGCAGCCGCCGAAAGGAAAGGATTGACACTCGGGGCCACAGGTAATGGCACCTTCCGACTGAAAGTGGCAGCGGCGCCAGCAATGTCGACCTGACGCAACTTCTGTGCGCGGCAAACTGACCGGGCCACCTGGACTCTACCTGTTTGATTCTGGCTCGTCTGTGACTAAATTGCGAGATGACTTTTTTTTCATAGCCTCTGACTCCCGGACCCCGCCCTCTCCTCAAGCTCTGGTTTTGGGGCTCCCCACTCCTCCGCGGTCCCTCAGTTTGCTTCGCGCTCGCCCCGTCCCCGAGGCTCGAGAAATGTCCCGCACTCTGCACTGGGTCCGCTTCCCGGCCAGAGCCGGGCCCGGGGCCCTGCAGCCCCCTTGGCGCCCCGAGACCCTCGCGCCGCGCTCCCTCTCTCGGCACCGTGTCCGTCAGCATCGCGTCCCCCGCCGGCCTCCGCCCCCGTGCCCCGCTCACCCGAGAAGTTGTCGAAGGCGGTGGGGATGTACTCGGTGGGGTAGCCGTTGGTGGTGTAGCTCACCACGAGGCTCGTCTTGCCCACGGCGCCGTCACCGACCAGCACGCACTTGATGCCGCGCCCCTCGCCACCGCCCGCGCGCCCCCGGCCACCTGGCGCTCCGGGTCCGCGCCCCCCGCGCCCCCCGCGCTCTCGGCGCGGCGGCACGGGCGGCGCCTCGCAGCGGCCGGGGAATGCGGAGTCCCCCTGCTGCGGGGGCATGGGTCCGCGCGCTCGAACGTGCAGACGCGGGCGACCGGGGCCCGGCCCGACCGTCCCTCCGTCCTGGACTTCTCCGGGAGGGAGGAGCTGTCACCGACCACTCCGGGAGCGTCCCTGGGCCCCGAGAGCGGCGCTTCCAGGACGCACGGCTGCCAGACAAAGGCGGCCGCGGAGGGTCGCGGCTCTGTGCTCCGGCGGCGCCACCCGGCTCTGTTCCGCGCGGTCGGAGGACTGCAGGCCGAGCGCCGTGGAACCCGAGCGCTCTGTCTCCTCCCGGCTTCCCGGCGACACGACGCGTGGGGGGCGGGCGGGGAGGGGAAAGAGGCGGGTCCGGCCCGGGAGCTCTGTCCCCGAGCCGAGGCCACAGCGCCCCCAGCCTGCGCGCCGGGCCTCTGCACCCGCGCCAGAGCCGGTGCCACGCCGGGCAGGCGGGGACCTCGGACGGCGGCTCGAGGGACCCCCGAACACCAGCTCCGGGGGACCCTGAACACCCACTCCGGGGGCGGCGCCTGAAGGAGCCGGTCTGGCCGAGGGCAGCTTCCTCCCCAGCGCCAGAAACTGACACCATCGCCGGACTGGCCCGGGCGGCGCCCCCTGATTGCGCTCACGCGGGCGGGGAAGCCTGAGCTTCCCGCTGTTCCTCTCGCCGCGCGCCCCACTCGCCCCCACGCCCTCACTTTCCATTCTCGGTCGGAACCTGAGCTGTGGGGTCCCTCGCCGGCCACGGCGCTCCACCCAAGAGGGGAAATAAAGTGTCTTGGGGACATGACGTCTGAAAGAGATGAATTAACAGGCAATTTTATTTTTTTTTAATTGTAGCTTCAGTCCATCGTGTGATTTTTCTTCTAAAATAATTTCTTCTCATATCATTTGAGAGTAGAAGAGTGCCAGGTCCATGGTTAATGCTCGTTTGACTTTCTCTTTGGCATGCTATGAACCAGCAAATTTCTTTATAGCCCCAATTCCTTCATTTACTTAAATGTAATTTGGTGACATTAAGATTACCTGAAAAAAAATTCCATTTATCTCTGACTCCTTCCTCTCTGCCTTCCTCCAACATTTAGTCAACAGTCCACTCGGAAAGCAGGGAAGCGTCCCTGGGCCCAGTCAGGACACAAAGGCTCCTCGGGGTTTACCGTGCGATGTGAGGAGAGGCACATATTATCAACGCAAATACTGGTACTACAGCTAAGAATAATAAAAATAACCACAGCTAATAAATATTCAGCCTTTATCATGTGCCAGACACTGTTGTAAGCACTCTGCCTGAACTAATTCCTCTGATCTTAACATCACTTATCCCCATTTTACAGATGAGAAAATCTAAAGACAGTGATATTAAAGTGCTCAGGTTCCACAAGCTAGTAAGTGGCAGTGACAGGATCCAAAGACAAATCGTCTAGCTCCAGAGCGGAAGCCCTTTACCAGGGTCCTGAAAGCACGAACAAGCCGTGTCATAAACTCAGACTTGGAAGTATCGCCATGGTGGGAAAGCAGAGGTGGATTTATCAAGAGGCTAGAGGTTGAATCCAGGGCACTTTGCTTGCAGAGAACCCCTCCAAGGCCCTGGGGACCCTAGCAATAGGAACACGTGGTTATATGTTTTTGTAAATCTTACAAAATAATATATTTTAACCACCAACAGTTAAGTCCGCTGTCTCATTCAACTGTAACTTCTCCTCGTATTGAGTGGCTTTGAAGTGGCAGTGGACATTTTAGGGATCAAGCCAAGGAAGGTGAAGTTGGGGAGACATTTTGTTTGGGTTTAATGGATACAGAGCCAGGACTAAGGTGAGATAAAAGAGGTGCCAAGGAAGCAAAAAGGTTTTTTTTGTTGTTGAGGAAGATTGGCCCTGGGCTAACATCTGTGCCCATCTTCCTCTACTTTATATGTGGGACACTCCCACAGCATGGCTTGATAAGCGGTGCACATGTCTACGCTGGGGATCCAAACCTGCGAATCCTGGGCCACCAAAGCAGAGCACGCGAACTTAACCACTGCGCCTCTGGGCCGGCCCCGGGAGCAAAATTTAAGGGGGCCAACCTTGTACTTGGCTGACCCTGAGAATGAGCGAGCCTTTAAGTTTTGAGCCTCAGGCACCTGGGTTGCCTCTCCCTAACCCTGCCCCTGATGGGATATGTTTATGTCATTTATAGCTCCTGTGTGTAGTTATGTTATTGCTGTGTAGGAATGGCTACCAGTGGCACGCTTGCTACCCTCTGTGGAGTCACGCTGGTGTCCACTGAACTGTCCTATGGTCCCCAGCACTGGAAGGGTTCCAGTAGCAAAGGAGGAACAGATTTTGAGATGGATGGAGCCAGAAGCTAGTCTGCAGTAATTCTTCCCATCATAAAACACACAGTATTGTTAGAGAGGGTTTGGCTCTCTTGACTACACCTGGTCAAAACGGAAGTTGTCTCCTGTCAGGAATATACTCTAAATGCAGCATATGCAGTTATAAATGCACCATACACTTTTGGAGGAAATCGCATGACAGAGAATTGATGTGAATTCCTACATTTGTGAAGACACAAACCTATAGTAGTATCTCAAACAGTAAGTGTACCTGCATGTTAAGTACATTTCCATTCTTCTCATAGAAAACATATCACAAAATTACAAAAGGGAAGGAATGATTGAAAGATACGCGGCTAGGAAGACATGGGGAGATGTTGTTCAAGGGGCACAAAATTTCAGTTATGCAAAAAAAAGTTCTGGAGATCTAAGGTGTAACAGTGTGATTGTAGTTAACAATACCATATTATATACTTGAAATTTACTAACAGGGTAGGTCTTACGTGTTCTCAGCACACACACACACACACACACACACACACACAAAAGTAACTAAGTGAGGTAATGGATACGTTAATTACCTTGATTAGAGTGAATATTTCACAATGTATTCATATATCAAATTATCAAATTGTACACCTTAAATATATACAACTTTTAATTGTCAACTATACCTCAGTAAAGTTGAGGGGGTAAAGGTATACAGCCAAAAAAATGTAAAAAAAAATAATATTGTCAAGGTATGTCAGCCAGTTTATTAAAATGTTTTCTTGTGGATTTTTGTGAAGTTTATGGTGTTTGTCAGCCTTTTAAATTTTACAGCTTGTTGTGACACATTTCTAATTTTAAATCAATATTTATTTTGTACCTAATTTTCTATTCTTAAATTTTTATACTTTCTTTTAAAGAAGGTCCCCAAATTTGATAAGCTTCAGGCCCTACCAAATGTGGCTCTACCCTGACAACTGATGTTGTTAGTTTTTGTATCCTATAGCCTCCGACTCTTGCTTTACTCTCTTTTATTAAAAAAAAAAAAAAATTGGGGGTCAGCCCGGTGGCATAGCAGTTATCACACTCCACTTCAGTGGCCTGGGGTTCCCAGGTTCAGATCTCAGGCATGGACCTACACATTGCTTATCAAGCCACCCTGTGTTGGCAGCTCGTATAAAGTAGAAGAAGATGGGCATGGACGTTAGCCCAGGGCCAATCTTCCTCAGCGAAAAAGAGGAAGATTGGCAACAGATGTTAGCTCAGGGCTAATCTTCCTCAAAAAAAAAAAAAAATCTGTTTAATTTATTTAAACTAAAAAATAAAAAAAACAGTTCACCCATTTCTTCCACCCCCCTACACCTTATCTCTTGCAACAACCAATCTGTTCTCTCTATCTATGAGCTTGTTTTGTTGTTGTTGTTTTAGACTCCACATATAAGAGAGATCATAGAGTATTTGTCTTTCTCTGTCTGACTTATTTCACTTAGCGTAATGCCCCCGAGGTCCATCCATGTTGTTGCAAATGGCAAGATTTCCTTCTATTTTATGGCTGAATAAGATTCCATTGCATATATATGCCACAATTTCTTTATCCAGCCATCCATCAATGGACATTTAGGTTGTTTCCATATTTTGGCTATTGTAAATAATGCTGCAGAGAACATGGAGGTGTATATATCTTTTCAAATTAGTGTTTTCATTTTCTTCAGATAAATACCCAGAAGTGGAATTGCTGGATCATATGGTAGTTCTATTTTTAATTTTTTGAGGAACCTCCATACTGTTTTCCACCGTGGCTGTACCAACTTACATTCTCACCAACAGTGCACAAGTGTTCCCTTTTCTCCACATCCTCGCCAACACATGTTATTTCTTGTCTTTTGAGAATAGCCATTCTAACAGGTATGAGGTGATAGCTCGTTGTGGTGTTGATTTGCGTTGCCCTGATGATTAGTGATGTTGAGCACCTTTTCATGTACCTGTTGGCCATCTGTATGTCTTCTTTGGAAAAATGTCTATTCAGATCTTCTGCCTATTTTTTTTTTTTTTTTTTGCTGAGGAAGACTCACTTTGAGCTAACATCTGTTGCCAATCTTCCTTTTTTTTTTTTTTTGCTTGAGGAAGATTTGCCCTGAGATAACATCTGTGCCAATCTTTCCTCTATTTTGTATGTGGGTAGCCACCACAGCATGGCTGATGAGTGGTGTAGGTCCATACCCAGGATCTGAACCCACGAGCCCAGGCCACCGAAGTGGAGCACACCAAACTCAACCACTAGGCCGTGGGGCCAGTCCCCCTTCTGCCTATTTTTTAATCAGATTGTTTGTTTTTTTGCTATTGAGTTGTATGAGTTCTTTATATATTTTGGATATTAGCCCCTTATCACATATATGATTTGCAATTACTTTATCCCATTCAGTAGGTTGCCTTTTCATTATGTTGATGGTTTCCTTTGCTGTGCAGAAGCTTTTTAGTTTTACTCCCTTTTTTTATGCTGTCCCTTTTATGTCGAATATGGTCCTATCCCCACTCATTTTGGCCCATCTTTCTAGATTCAACTTAACTCCCTGCAGCCTTATCTAAAATACCCAGAACTGGTTCTTGCCCTGTTTATAATAATCTCCTGCAGTGATACAGGAAAGTAGACCCTACTCTGAAACATATGGTGTCTCATTCAAGTCCAGAAATAGAGAGATGGCCTGGGACGGGGACTGCAAGAGGCCCCTCGAGTGTGTGGCTCCACATCACACGATACATTTTCTTGTTTGTCTGTTTACTGTCTGCTCCCCTTACCAGCCCCGTGAGGTCATGGACTTTCTTCTGTTCACCCCTCTATGCACACTTAAAATTGTGTGGGGCAAATAGTAAATTACTGTTTCTATTAAATATTTTTAGAACACATAAACCAAATTTGACTATTTCTTGCGGCAATTAATATGAAACACCATTTCTTTGCTCTGTTTTAAGAATGCATT